CTGTTCTCCGTCGGGATGCAATTGACACGACGCAACCGGCTGTCCACCTGCGCCACGATAAGACGTCCTGGTAGCTGCGGATGATCCCACCTGTTGACATTCGAGGGGATAATGCGCGCCCAATCTAGAATCCCGGCTGGAGTGTTCCCATTGACTCTTTGCAGACTTTCCAGAAGAACCACCGGCGCGGTAGACCATTCGGCTTGCCGATCTCGTGGTGACTGAGTGGGTCCCCCGGTTGCGACTTCCAGTTACTCACTCGAGCTCACGGACTCACTATTCACCTCGTCCTCTCGCTCTCGCACGCTCACCGGCACTCGGTCCCACCTCTCTCCCTCTTGCCACTGCCTCCAGCCCCCTTCTGTAGTCCCACCGTAGTCCGAGGCCTGTCAGTACGTCCTCCCTGTCCTCCCACCTGCACGCATGCTACCCTTGCTTCGCGAACTCCGCGTGGGGAGATACACTGTATTCTGGGATATGCATTGGACCCCCGGGGGTCACGTCGATTTTATTTGCACGTCATTTTGACTCATCGGTCGCTTTGCGGGTCCATGCGATAGATATTTTCAGGCGAGAATTTTATCAAATTTATGTAATACAATTGACAGCTAAACACACATTTTTCGGGAATTATCTTATGAAAGATGAGTTAATTTTAATTAAGCATCGAGATCATTTAATTAAGCAACAATTATAGGTGAAGGATTGGAACGAGAAAAAACTAGTCTCGAGATAGGATTTTTAAAATACATCGATTGTAATTCAAGTGCATGCAAATAAAACAATTTAAAGATCAAAATAATTGAATGATTGCATTTGAATTTTCTTTGAACTTATTACAAGAGACAATCAATACGTGTAAAATTTCCAAGATGGGTAATACCATCTTTATATATTAAATGCAATTGTTTCAAACTTGCCGAAGGCATTATCACGTTAATCAGATGAAGATGTAGTCATTTAGGGAAATAACCGCATCAATATATATGGAAACCAGGAAAGTAAGTTTCTGTGTTGGGCACGTGGCTCGTAAATCAGTTAAGATGGTGTATAGTCTTGACACAATATTGATGACTAATACTTGTTGCGTATATGTGTCTGCGAAAAATGTTTAATATTCAGTCCGTCTAGTCGGTGTTTATATTTAACTGTGCATTCCTCTCTCATTACTTAAACGAGATAATTTGATCATGTTGAAATTAAAATACTTTACACATAAATCTTACGCATGCAAATTAAAAATAAAGTCCGCGTATCGCGATACACATCAAAAACACCGTGTTACGTTATTGTCAACCATCGTTAAAATTATGCACGCACAGTCTCAAATAATTATGCAAATATAGAATTTATTCCGATCATATTATTCTATTTGCAAATAACGTCCGGACAAAAGATATCGCGCAAGACATGTGATATTTTTATTCTGTTGCTAAGGATGGGAGAAGAGTAAAGAATTGCGCGCGCGTGTGCTACGTCATCGATAAGATACATTCGCGATTAGATGCTTGATTTCGATCTCGTCGATATAATTATAACAGCATCGCATTCTTATAAATGAAATTACACGCAATATTTCAGATACGAAGATGTTAAAGATTATATCGTATTCGTGTTTTCTCGCTACGATTTCCGGTGATTTCGTCCGACACCTATTGGGTTTGAATCACTTTTATTGCCCGCAAATATTTGCAAGGCGGTATCGTAGCCCGGCGAGAAACCCACGGCCGGTTCCATTAACGCGTGCAAATTATTCGAATATTATGCGCTACAAATTAGACGGCCAGCATCGAGATGGTCCGCTGCGGGCTCCACGTCGGTGCCGGCGAGCGCCTCGGGATTTTAATTTAACGATGTGCGCGCGGTCGCTTAACTCAGGGTCCAGAAATGCGCGGGCTTCCTCAGAGGATCCAGCTATAAGAGGATCGAATTACCGCGCCAATTATACTGCCACGTCGTTAATTGACCGGTAATCCGTCCTGCGACGAAAAGATGTCTGCACGTGAAAAAAAGACGATTTAAAATGCGATTTACCTCGTTAAGATCGGATAGCGACACGATATCTAATCCACAATAGAATTATGAAGTGTAAATTTAATGGTATATTCTGAATATATTAAATACCTTTTTATATAACTATAACATATGTATAGAGTGATGTATTAGACGTGAAATATAAAGAAAATATACTTTAACGTAATTAATAAATTAACATACATGTCATATATAACATGATTTATATTTAAGGATCCAAGGCATCACGAACAAGAGAAAGCAAAATTATATATATATGTAATAAAAATATTAAAATTAATTAAACATTAATGCACTTACAATTTCAATTTGTCGCGATATATTCACGTAGTTAAAACTTAATGAATTTTATTAAATTAAATTTTAATTTCATCAATTTGTTAATTTGTTACTTTTATCATACACACACACACACACACACATACATATATATATATATAAATGCTGAAACTCGTCATGTGTATTTTTATGGCGTGCTATTTGCATATCTAAAATACCTATTTACGTTTCCACGCCTTATCGAAACGGCATCGAAAACGGCTGCATTGACGTTATAAAATTTTCCGATAAGAATCGATGGCGTCAAGGAAAAATTGCGGTGGGCTTCCCCGAGTTTCAGTGTAAATTACTCATTTTTAACATATTTTTTCTATTATGTAACGCATAACCAATAAAGCTGCAGGCTATTTCCGAGCAACCGGCGCGCTCTTTTTTTTTCTCTTTTGATAGGAGAAAATGGAAAATTATCGCCACGCTCGGCTAACTCTTGAAATCGACCGATCTGTCGACATGAGATACGAGCTTAATCCCACTGTCGGTAGTAATGCCGAGTTTTTGCTAGTGTTGTATACGCCAGAACGGAAATGCCTTCCACTCTTGCGCTATTTGGTCCTTGGCTCGGTTCACTTATAATTTTTTTCTATGTGCCACCATCTTTAGAATAATACTCGATCTGATTGGTTAAATCACATTGCTGACTATTAGTTTTGATTGGTCGGATATTATAAGTCTATGCGAGGGAAGTAGAATGTGTAAATGTTGCGAGAAGTTATTTTACATAATCCTTATTTCTTTAATTGTCATTTTTATTCATTGAATAAAATTTTTGTTTAGCTTTTTAAAAGACATTTATACTCTATTCAAGATTTATGTATGTATATCTCATAAAAATTATTGTATTACGTAAAAATAATTATTAGAGATTGACTTCATTAATAGATATATTTTTTCATACATATTAGCAGAATAGCAGTTCGTAAAAATGCTGACAGGAGACTAAGCAGGATTATATATCAGTACAGAGGGGGCCTTTTTGTTTAATCGTTACTTCCTGCCTCTGTGGATATTGACTTCGACTTTATTTATCCGGCCGACGACGCGATAAGATTAAGATAAATTTGATCAGTAATTTGATTCACATTTATGCGTATGCGTACTTTGCTCATATACTTTGTAATGCCTTCATGTAAATGTAGCGTATGTCACGTGAGAAATAACATCGAAAATCATTCGACTTGCATCAAACGCATCACGATAAAGAGACGATAGTCGACAGGTAGCCGTCAAGATGGAACAGGCGCCAAGAAAATGATTCACTGAGATAAGTGCGACACGTACAAGTTTATTTATTTATTATGTTATTGTCAATTTATTCAATCGCATTGATGATGAAGATTTATCTATTATTATTTTAATTCCGTCGCGGTAAATAATTACGTTATTACGCCGTGCAAACTACTTCATATATATAAAATCGCAAATGTGAGATTACATATCACGATTATGTGAAATGTTACCGATTGCCATAGTAGATGCGACAGAAAAGTGAGCGTTCTCAAAGAAGCATTGTTGAATGAGTACATTATATGGTTCTTCTTTTGTGTAAAATTATTCGCACAGCTGCCGGCCACTTCGGCCTGTAGTCTCGGATTGTTGCAGAGAAAAACGGGATAAAGTGTCGTTTTTCTCTTAAGGATGTCTTTTCAGAATCAATGCGAGAACAAAGAAGAGAAATCACGGTGATGCTCCGAACGATCTCCGAAGCATCATGGCGTGAGCAATTTGTCGCAGACGTATTTACATCAGTCTGATACGAGATGAGCCGTGAAATTTATCCACTCCATTAAAAACGGAGACCTTTTTTCTTAGGGACGTTATTTCTAAAGTGCCGCTATTTCAATTGAAGAAAAACGTACAAACACTGAATTTTTTGCACTGAAATCGGGTTGTTGCAAAGATGCAACGAATCGCGATTTAAATATAAATTACAACATTACAAGAACATTTTTTTATTTACCTTTAGTAGACCATAATTCTTTTCAATTTAATGGCTTTTATCAATATTATATTTTAAACTATTTTAAAGAAGTAAAACCTAGTGCTCGTACAATTATCAATTATGATAGTTGGTAAATACATAGGTAAATGAGTTATTTATATATGAAATATTTTTTCACTCACATATAGGTATAATCATAATGTATATATCATCAGACGAAAGCATTTCATTACACTTCTTTTCTTTTCAATTAACTTTAAGAACAATATTATATTATATAAGAAACTTTAACAATGTATATTAAAAAGAATCTTTATTAATGACAAAAAAAATTATTTGATGCACTCAATAATATTTTCATGAACAAGATGAAAAATTCTTATTCTGTATATAAAATATTTTTTCACTCACATGGGCATAATCGTAATGTATATATCATCAGACGAAAGCATTTCATATATCTTCTTTTTAATTAACTTTAAAACAATATCATATTAAGAGGCTTTAACAATGTATATTAAAAAGAATCTTTATTAATCGATAAAAAAGTATTTTTTAATGCACTCAATAATATTTTCATAAATAAGATGGAATATTCTATATGCATAAAATGCTTACTCTGACGAGACAGGTTCCATTTCTGAGAAATGTTCGTTCAAAACCGAGTATAATCATGCGTCATTCTCACCTAGCCACATTCTCCTTGCTCGATGTTAATTCACCTTGTTGACTACTTTGTACTTCTTGATCTCACGTGTCGTAGGACGAGTCACACGCACACACGCGGGCTAGCTTAAAGCAGGTCACTCGTGATGTGATCGAGAGTTGCGATCAGCGCACGCTCCGTAAGGACACTCCCGTCGTATCAGATTAATGAATGACTATGCTGGAGTGGAACTATGAATGAATTCCGTTTAGCACAAGACTACTATATATCCGCGTACTTTGTGGGCGGTTTCCCTCTCAGCCAATAAGAATAACTGTCTGCGGAAACTTTGCGAGAGGATACGTCCAAGTTCTTTTTTCTATTGGAAAACTATGTATGTCTCCAAAACCGAGGGAAATCAAAGAAAGAGGGAGAAGAAAAGTGAAAAGAACTGAGATGGAGAGGGGAATCCTTTTATATTAATCATCCAATTGCAGCATCCTGCAGCATTTCCAACATATACACTTTGAGAATATTTTTTTCTTATTTGAACTAAATCTCTGAACTAATTTTAAAAAACAAAATTGTTAACAGAATTACATTTTTAGCTAAAAATTGCAATTTAAAAAAAAGAATTATACAAATTTTAGTTCTAACACATATGATGCTATAAATTAAAAGCTGTGATATCTTTGATGATTTCAACGAATAACGGTTTGAAGAATTTATTTAAATTTTTATTTATTTTTCTCAAATTGATTAAAAAAATTAATAATGAATGCAATATGTGAGACTTCTCATGTTTTATTTGTGATAATTTTGTATAATAAAATGTACATTATTTTATAAAAGTAACTTTTATTTCACTAGATACATCTCTTAAATACGTGATTAAGTTGTAGAGTTATAAAAATTGTAATACATATCAATTCATTTTCTTCTATAAAAACTATGAAGTTAATATTAAGTTAATACTATTTAGTCTTGTATGAATCATGTTTATCTTTGCAAAATTTCAGCAGCGTTATCTCGTTATCAGTTACATCATTACTCACACGTACATTGGGTCAATTTCTTAGTAGCGACTGCATGATAAACATTTTGTCATAGTATCGTGTGCCAAGTTTATCTTAGAATAAATTAACGTTTCAATTATGTAAAATTCCCATAATTATGCACAACTTCGATTATTCCAGATGGTAGTGCGTTATGACGCTATTGTATGTTACGACGCTTGCATAATGAATTATCGGAGAAGTGCACATATATATGTTAGAAATATGAACATAACAAGCCGTATGCGCGATTATGGACATTGTAGTAAATTATCGGCATTTGTATCGTAACAAATCCTATTCACTGATTGTGAGATTATCTAGTGATTAAAAGAGAAAAAATATTTCTTGTCGAGTACAAATGCATTTTGTCTTTAAATTTTAATTTTGTACAAAAATTCGTCAATTTCAATTTGTAAACATAATCTCCGCTATAGTGATCTCAGGAAGATAAAATTTTGCGAGTTTAATTAAATATAATTCTTAAAATTGAATCAGTTTCAAGTTTAAAAAGTATTGAAATTAAATTTCTTTTAATAAGCTTTCTCAAGCTGAGATTTACATATATCACAGTGCTATATAATTAATTTATCTATGTCGGAAACAAAGAATTTGTGAGGGTCAGGCCAAGTTAGTTTTCTCTATTGTTTTCTCTCAAGAAACGATAAAGAGAAATCTGAAAAGTGACCCTTGAAAAGAAACTTTTGTTCAAAAAAACTAATGGACGGTTGTCCGTTCCATTGTCAACCAATAAAGATTTACGAGAAAAAGACTACGTTTGAATCTAATGGGTTGTCGTTATTGTTCAAGGATTTTGAAAGGGATGATAGATGTAAAAACGAACTGCAGAAACCCTATTATCGTTACCGATAATATGCACCATTTAAATATACTTGTACATTTCTTTCTTCCCGCAATTTGTGTTATTTGGCGATGGATATCCCTTACACTTTCATGTTTTTAACTGTAAAAAATAAAAGCAATGACAGCCTGTATCTCGAACATGCTACGTAAAAATCGCTCCATGATTGCAAAAAGCATACTTACAAGTCATTTCTGCATTAAATCATACTAATGTTTCTACAAGCAAAAATTTTTAATATCCACAAAGACTCGCTCAAAAGAAAAGAGTCTTTCTTTCTTCCCAAATTCCGTCTTGGAAAAAAAAATAAAGAAACTATTTTTTAACCGATTTGAATGCCAAGAAAATATTCCCTAAAGTATTCTCTAAACAGTTCTTTGTCAATTCTTAGACTGCTGTTTCCTTAAAAGATCCTTTTATTTGTAATCCTGTAATATGAGATATACTAGCGCTTGCATTGTATATCATGACTTTAAATGAAATAGTTTCCATACAAATTTTCTTGGTTTCCTAGCTCGATTGCCATTATTTCTTTGATTTTCTTTAATATAATCAAAAGACATGGTAGCGTCTCGCGCATAGTTAAGCTAACAATAAGAGGGACGCTAGAGCCTGCATCATATATTATGGCTCTAAATGAAAAAGTTTCTATATACAGATTCTCTTGGTTCCCCAAGTTTTTTTTCCGAATGCGAATATTGATTATTTGGAATATCTTTTTATTGAGTATCAGATCAATAAATCCTTTTTACGATTAAAGTACTTATAAAAACGGACCGCGTTAGCTATAATTTCATATATAAATCATATAAAAATGAAAAATTACAGTTATGTTATCGGTTTCTTTTGTGTCAGTTCGTAACAATACTTATATTAATAAAAAAAGTTCTGCAGTTTGTCTGTGCATAAGATATAGCTCGCGCAATAGAGATAACATAAAAGAATATTAATGAACAATTAGAAGTGCGATTACAAATCTAATAAAAAAAGTTATATATTAATAAATTTTCACGCATATGTGTATGCATGTTTATATGTGTATACGTGCATATATGCGGTTATGTGTGATGCTAACCTATCGAAGTTTCGGCCGTCACTCCGGCTTGTAAAGTCGAAAAACACATGTATTTTTAGGAATTTTTTTTAAACTAAATAATTTTTTTAAATAAATGTTTAAACATTCAAATGTATACATTTTGAGGATTATATGCAGTATTTTTATTACAAAATATAAGTAAACAAAGAAGATCTCCTCAAGAGCAATTTTTTTAAGTTTCTTGCGTTGATGACTACAGCTTTGAGTGTCATTTCAGATGAACAAAATTCGAGCGAATTTGGTTAGTATATTAGTTTATCTAGTGCCTGATCGTAGTTTTTTGTTGCGGTTTTTCTTTTCCTGATAAAAATGAACGATTTTTTGGTCGAAAATCGACACTTCAACTTTGGACAACCGCTTTTTTGTCCCAAATTAATTTTTCGAGCTAATAAACAATCAGGCACTACATAAACTAATAACTAAATTTTTTATTTCAGATGAATGCACTTAAAGCTATAGTGGTCACCGCAAGAAACTTAAAAAAAAGCTCTTAGGAGATCGCTGATATCTTCTTTGTTTATTTATATTTTGTAATAAAAAAATACTGCAGAATCCTTAAAAAAAGTATACATTTGAATGTTTAAACATTCATTTTAAAAAATCTTTCAGTTTTCTCAAAAAAAAATCCTAAAAATACATGTTTTTTTCGACCTCATAGGTATAAGTATAACCCCTTAAAGATCTACAGAAAAAACAGCAATTGGTTTTGTTATAACTTATTAATAAATGTAAGAGCTATCTTTCTAGCCTTTTCTTTTTCTGGTTATACAGTCATATGTTATATCGCTAGTATAGTAAAGAATGTTTTTTTTGTTGAGTAACTCAGTGATATATATAGAGGAACAAATAATTAAAAAAAATGTTGAGTTTGAAAATAAGATTCGAATGTGTAGATTATATATAAGAGCATCGTCGACAGTTGCTATCTTTCAGAGAACGTCTTCTAAAGAGTTGCACAAGAAATGCAAATATACGTGTAAAAAATATTCGCACATAGAGCGACGTACTTGTGGATTATTAATGATAATGTTAACGAGATGGAAAAGAGTAAAGAAATGTTGTGCATAAAATTGATATTATATATACTATATTGTATATTATATACACATTTAGAAATGCAACGCGCGTATCGCAGGAGCAAATTACGTCCTGCTGATAAAATTATACTTGATCATCGACGCGTTAACTTGAAATAACGCACGGTTTTAGATCCTGTCGTGATCGCGATTGACTAGGATTCAATTGCTCAGGAAGGCGCAAGATCGTGGCGCGTAATAGATTCCACGAACGGATATGGATGATAGAGGTATTGAGATAGTTTGCGAAAATGCGTGCGTCCCTCGCTCACATACACACACATCGACTGTTCGGTTAAGACATCGTCCGGCAGCTAGACAGATTGACAGGAGCTGAACCAATTACACGGAATATTATCCCGCCGACGATTTGCACTCCCCTGCAATCACCGTGATTAGTGTTGCGCCGACACTCGCGTACACGCATCTCGTAACGGCGTCTAATTTGTAAACTCTTGTATTACACGTACATATATATATATAATATATATATATTATATATATATATATATATATATATATATATATATACACATACGTGCAGTTACGAACTTACATAATTAGATAGGATCATTAGTTTACGGATGCGAAAGAGCTGTCGCGGTCCGAATGTGGCCGCTGCATAACGTAACTGTACGCTGCAAGAATCATTCATTCGTATAAGTGTAAACCTTGAGTGTGAAGGCTCTGTCATTTATTTGACTTGATTCTCGGGCTTAATGATTGTTATTAAACAACGTGAGCTGCATTATGTATACGAATGTGTTTTATGCATCGCAGCAAATACAAAATAAGTTGAAAACATGTGATTTTTGTGTAAATAAACAATATATCTCATTCTGATCATAAAACATAATTTTATTAATGAAAAATTACAAAAAAATATTTATTTATTATATATAAGTTTGCTCATTTAGAAGTTAAACGCACGTTATAAAAATATTTTCAAAACAAAATCAATTTTTTTAAGTTTAAGATTTTAAGAAAATGTGTTTCTAAAATATTTTAAAAAAATCCGTATAATTTATAAAACTATACTATTTTATAGAAAATGACACACAAATAGAAATAAATGTATGTATATCGCGTCAATCCTCTTTTTAAGTACATTTTCTTTAAAAAGAAAGATTAGATAGAT